AATAAGCAAATAAGTATGAAATAAGCTTATCTTATTTCTTTCATAAACACTAAAAATACAGGGTCGAGTGCAGTTTTGCACCCTCTGCAAACCTATAATCACAATTAGTACTAGTTATTAATTACACAATTACGTAAACCGCAAGTAATTTAGTGGAACAAGGCAGCATAAAATAGTTCATTCCAAGTATCAGGCAATCCAGGGAGGCACCAATGGCTACAATCAGCTGAGCGGTCCGGGTTAGCCCTCTGAGCAGGGCTTAAATCACCACTGTAAATCGAAGGGTGCCCATCTTTCCTGAGCTCAGAGAGCATGGTTATGTTCAACAAATATGTAGGGACGTACATTTCTCTGATGACTTCATCCACCACTCTCTTCTGGTCAGGGTACGTTCCGGGGTAGGTCGTTCCGGTCATCGGTGTTGTTTCTCCGTAACAGTTTTTTGTCGCCATCGTGGTTGCTCTAGTGCTCCATTCACTTGGACTGTCAAAAGCATTTCATCAAAGATCATATAACTTATGTCACAAATTTTGGTCATTCATGCATCATGTCCTTTATGTGAGAGACTATACTAGAGGCTGAGGGCAGTGGTCCACTAGAGCAGTCAGGCAACTGGTCTCTGCTGGTCATTTTGCAGACCCTTTATTTTGTACTTGATTGTGTTTTTTCTCAACATTTAAAATGAAGGGTAAATTCCCACCGACACAAAGAGTGGCTAAGAAAGACACCTCGTTGTTTCACGGATTGTAAAAGGAAAAACAGTTAAAATCAACTAAACACTTTAATTAATTAAAGTGAATTTGAGTATCTCATGAAACATGAGAAGATAAGGTGAGAACACGTGGAGGGTAATAATAATATTGATAAACATGAAGGACCCACAGTTATGCAATGATTTTTCTTTCAGTTGTTGCCAGTTTTAAACAGTTTGGTAATGAAGAAATTGTTTATTATAGCAAGGAACAACTGATGAACAAGTGACCAAACTCTGTAGGGAAACTGATGAAGTTGGTTTTCCAGATAGGAGTTTAGTTTCTAACTCCTCCAAGTTGTGTCTTTACATTTATGATGTAATTATAGCAATGTCTGCAAGTTGCCAATGGCTCACCCTATACAATAATTTTAGGGGATAGAGAGAGAGAGAGAGACTTACTCATAATGTGTGGGGGAAATTGATTGGAAAAAGACTCTGGTTTTAGTTCTATCGACATTGGTGTCGACCCAATTAGCCCATGTTCTCAACCCTTTCTCCAGTGCAACCAAACGATCAATGTCCTTGTAATATTTACCCCCTGTTTCAATCAAATCCCACCTGTAACATACATATAATATAACATACGATATAGTTAACCCAAACATAGAAAACGTAGTATAATTTATTGAATGTTCTCAGTGGTAAAATGAATGTTGTTCTTTTTAAAGTACTCGAGTTAAGTGTGTGCATTGTCAATGATTAAGAAAGATTTTGAACATAATCCTAGAAAATGTTGTAATAAATGATCTGTTTTTGCGTACCCTTGGAGGGATCCTTTATGACTCCACCAATGGCCTGTGTTGAATACCAGCACGTCTGCAATTCTCCAGGCGTTTCCATGTGCATGTATGTCCTCTAACTTGAGAATTCTCCTCCCTCCAACCATATCTATGTCTACCAAATACGGAGCTCTATAGAATGATACCGATAAGCCATAGTCCTGCAATTTTATCATTTATAACACGTGTCCAATTTGCATTTTTTTTTGGGGGAAAATAATATGTTCACTTACAATGAACTTTAAGGTGGAGAGAGGATCTCCTCTGCTCATCTGAGTCTTCATTTTGGGTGCTGAAGCTGAGACCATACAAATCAAAGACTCCCATTGATTCCTTCCCAGAGAATCACCGACAAACATCACGTGTTTCCCTCTCATTTTCGACAGAAACACGAGCCCGTTGAACCTCGGGAGCACACGGCCGAGAGGCTGCCATCGATATTTGAGGTAATCAGAATCGGGTCTCCCGTACATTTGGCAGTTGAATTCAGCATCAATGAGTGGACAGTCGGAATATTTGTACAACGGATAAGTATCATCACGAACCCAAGTGCCGGAGAACAATGCACAGGTGGTTTGGTTCGTTTGGAACATTGGCTTCCCACGTTGGACGTGGCCATGGTGGTTTTTCAAGCTCGAACCTGTCAGAAACTGGAACGAGGCTAGTAAAACAAAGGGTAACAGACATGAAAGAAGGGTCATTTTATTTTTGCAGAGTCCTGTAAGAGAAAAAGCCAGCAGAAGACAAATGAAAAGAAAGTGGGATTTTTTTTATAAGAGATTAAAAGGGTGTGCATGTGAAGGTGAAAAGGGTTGTGGTGAGCTTAACTTGGCGGTGAATGTCAATATGATTTAGACCCTTTTTAACCATGTCTTGAGCTTCTTATTGTAGACCCCTCCTTGTCTGCAACTTTATCCTGTTCCATTTTAATGGTGTCCCCTAATTTCTGTGTTTTCTATATGGTTTTTATTTTATTTTCTTTGGGTTCTCTGATAATTCAATCGTGACTATGTCATGACTTTGATGTTTAAAGTCGTCCAAATTTAGAAAATTAGCATAAAAGAATTGGTAAAAGTACTATATGAATCCCTATATTACAGCAAAAATTGCATTTTAGTCCCTGAATTTAAAATTAAGAGAGACCCTTCACGTCAGAAAAAGAGCAAAATGGTTATTTTTCTCTCAGTTAAAAAAATCTTATAAAATATTGTTAACAAAATTTCTATCAAATAGTTAAAGTTATTATATTCTTAAAATTTTAAACTCGAAACCTTGATTAAATCGAAACAATCTCATAATATTATCACTCCTTTTTTATTAATACAATAGCCTCAAAGATGATAGGCGCCAAGCTTGGATGCTGTTTGATGATTTGTAAAAAGACAAGGTACTTGCTTGTTATCAATACCATTAACAAAAGCAATGTTGTTGCTGTCAGTTTTTATGAGCAACCATTTTCAGGTTCAATGTTCATTGATAAAGTGTTTTTAAAAAAGATTTAAATTAATCAAATACATTATGCTAATAATTAATGTATTCTTAATGGAGTTATGATATACATCATTATCTTACTTCTTGTTTATTTTATTGGAGGATATTAATTTATTGAGAAAAATTGCATAACACATCAGTTGCTGTTGATATGTAGGTGTACTTAACTACAGTGATTCTAATAATAAAAAAATCAATTTTAATGATCAAAGTAATAATATCTTATAATTTTAGTGACCATCAATGTAGTTTACACACTAAATTATTGATTTTTATGAGGGATAGAAATAGATTTTCATTTAATAGAACGACTAAAATGAATGGTATACCAAAGGACCAAATCCAAAACCCCTACCTGCCCCTTCGACTTTGACTTTAATTTATTGGTGCAAAGCAAGTTGGAAAATCAAAATAATTTATGGGTCGGATTGACTTTTTGGTATACCCAAAATAAAATTTCACTCGACCCGAATCCAACCCGACATATAACTTAGAAACTTGACCTTACCCAAAATAGTGACTTAATTGAAAGAAATTATATATAGAGAGATATTATTATAATTATTCCTAAATATATAAGATAAAATTATATTTTTTGAATCGGGACGAATATTTTTCACCTTAAACCCTAATCCGACCCGAACATCACACTTAAAAAAACTCAACCCGACCCTAGTTATGAGTGCAGCACACAGTAATGAAGAAACATTAAGGTTTATTTAGGGTAAAGTACGCACATGGTCCTCTAATTATAAGACATTGCTTTATTGAGTTCTCTTAACTATTACAAATTACAAAATAATTATTTGTCATAGGACATTGTTTTATTGAGTCTTCCGACTATTAAAAGTTACAAAATGGTCATCCGATTATTTATATGTTCAAAACTCAACATTTTTTGTTAAAAAAATTGACGACAGTATGAGTTATACGCTAACCCGATGAACATGATATAATAAAATATGATCCTAAAATCTCAATCGACTATCATATCTCAATTTACAGGTTAACGTCAAGCTCAGATTGTCATTAATTTTTTAATAGAAAAGACAAGTTTTGACATATGAATAGTTGGATGACCATTTTATAATTTTTAATAATCGAAAAACTCAACAAAATAACATTTGTTTGAAGGACTCTCAACTATTTGACATTAAACGTTCAAACGTCCTTGCAAATAATGTTTAAACCGAGACCTCTAGGAGTCACAACCGTTCTCTTAACTATTGAAGTCATTTGGCTCATAGTATTGCAAGTTGGGGGCGATTATTTACTAAACAGAACTGTTAACGGTGGCGACAACCATTAATGGCACCACCATAAATAGATGGAAAATATTGGTTTACTGGTGATCCTTCAACTTGCACAACCATTAATATGGACAAAGGATACTCGAAATGAGCACAACGTTCTTCGTCTTAAAAGGTAATCAGCTCTACATATTTCCCAGGATTATACATAAACCTTAAGCGAGTTTGAGTATCCATGAAACTAAAACTCCACAGCCTTCTAAAATTGCTATGAACCCGTTTTCTTTTTTCCCCCCCTCCACTAAGCACTCTGTTGGTTTACCTGCAATTGGAAAATAGGGTCAGGAGCAACTGTCAACAACTTTGCAATTAAACCCAACTAGCCAATATTTAAGAGGATATACAGAGAATTATGGCAAAGCATAATGCACCAAATACATTGTTTCCCCCCCCCCCTACAAATACTAAAAGCAATATTAGTGCAGGGCATTCTACAAGGATTGTTATCTTGCACATGTCATAAGTCATAAGGACTTGAATTTAATGATTAAAGATTTTTAAACAGATGATATTTACATGGTTATAATATGGTTAGGGTACTAAGCAAGTAGTTCTCTCTGGTTAGGCCATCCCAGGAAAAGTGAAGTTTTCCGATTTCAGTTTTTCTCTTCTAAATAGAGTGCAAAAGAGGCGAGACGTACTCCAGTAGTCCTTGATCCATAATCACTATTCCTCTGTTAGTCGTACTTCACAGACTGAATCAGACCGACCATCATCTACATTATCGCTATGAAGTTCAAACTGGGATCCTGGAAAAACAATAGTGAAAACTAAAATGTGACGTAATTAATACTTGAACTAGGTGGCTAGTGAATTGGAAATACCAAATGATATGCTTGATTCCGGTAAAGGGTTATTGAGCAAAAGCTTCTGGCACATGGTAGCACCCTGGAAATCTAAAAATGTAAAATCTACAAACTCTAATCTCTGGGATGGCGTCATCTCTGAAAATCCGAATGAACCAGTCCATGTGTGTAGCACATCAGGGACAGCAGGTAATATCAGCCTCTCTACTCCTAACTCCATTAGCATCTGAAGAAATCATGCAAGAAGCAATGGTTAGAAATTTGTGAGATGCATGCGTTTAGCATGGAAAGAGTTGGATGATATCTAATCCCAGAAATTTGAACAATAGTGGATATAAAGCACTACTAGTAAAAGAAACCATCCAAACATGAAATAGCTAACCATCTCAAGTTTGTTCATCAAAATGCTGCACATTCCGAGTCGCCGGTGTTGAAACCTGGTACCAATCAAAGGCATTTCGGCCACCTTTTCTCCATGAACCCTTGAATGGGAAAATAGAAATAAAAACTACCATTATTAACAAGGCAAACATTTAAAAAAATCCTAACCAAGGCCTTCAGTCCTATACAACAAACTACTGTTACTTAGAGAAGCTTACCTAATATTGGCAACAGTAATGAGTTCATCATGTCTTTCCAGAAGTATTGTGTAGAAGCCTCGGAAGTTCAAGCGGTTAAGTTGTGAGCTGTAAAATTCAAAAAAACAAATGGATCAAACATGTAATCCACTTGCTTGCATTAAACAAACAAAATTCTAATAAATCATAACAGTATAGAAGCAACAAAAACATTATGAAGCTCAAGTATCAGCTGTAGGTTATTATGGCCTACTGGCATAGAAACTGAATTGCTACCAGATTAGCTGTAAGAAAGATAAAATGCAGTTAATTTAATAGAAATCTTTAAAATTAGCTAATTCAAACCATCAAACATTCAGTCCAAGATAAAGATTTGCGAGATTAAAAGAGACAAATCACGCAGAGGAGATAATTCTCCTCCCCTTGGTGCCAACGTAGACATCATACTCCACTGTTGGTATTATGAGTCACTCCAGCTATAAATTTAAAACGCTCAAGTTAAGACACATAAAAAAGTGACTTGCAAATGAATGCAAAGTTTGAAGCAATGATTTGCATAAGAAGACAACACCTTCTACTGAATATAATATCAGCAACAAGATCTCTTCCAGTGCGAGAGTCTTTGACATTCTCAAAACACTCATGCATCACTTCAAGCGCAATGCTAAGTTTGCAATAATTCTCAACCATGGTTTCATTATCTGAAGCATCAAGATCATGACTCTCTGGCTGCACGGATTTAATTAATGTCCATGTTAGATTGTCTGATCCAACAGGAATTGGTCTCCCTAAAAGCTCACTAAGGCCCAAAGATATCTGCAAGAAAACAGCAATTGTAAGAAGTCAAAAAAGTTACTGAAGACACGAAATAACTTGAGCCCCAAGGAAGAAAGAAATAGCAGTAGCTATCACTCATAGATGCACAACACAAATTACAGAAATAAAGCTGATTGAAAGTACCTCTTCACACTTTTTGCTGCAAAACCAATTTTCTTTTGCACATATTTCCAACCTATCTGCCCGTGCACTGCATATGCAGCCAACATGATCTGGCATCAAATACACAAAAAATTTATAAATAAACCAATAGACTTTGAGTTATCAAAACAAATACAGAAAATTAACCTACATTTATGCGCACACTGAGCACAAGTGAAAAGTCTGTCATACACCATATTTGCACCATCTTTAAGATTGTGTTGACCACAAATCCCACAGCAACATGATGGACAGAACCAATCACCATCTGGAACAGTCTATGACAGAAAATTCAAAAGACGAAATCAAATATCTGTAGGATTTAAGAAAACGGAATAACAGCATATTACAATGGGAATGAACTGATAATAATAACAAAAGTGATACCTTTAAACCAAGGCAGTTTTTATGGAATGAGGATGGACATTGATCGCATAAAATTAGTTCACCGCCATACTGACAAACAGAACAAATGTCATCGTTCTTGTCCATTTGGCAATTGCATGCTAACTGGGAATTCTTCTTTTTTTCCCAACTCCACTCTACTATTTTGTATTACTTGCATCTGGCAGTCCAATAGAGACCTTCCATCTTCCAAGAATATCTTGGCAGCTGGTCTGTGGTTTTCACCGCCGCCATGTGCTACAAAACCGCCAAGAGTGTATACCTTGTCACAACATTTGCACATAATTCCACTACGAGTTATCCTCCCTTCAGCTTTCAACCTCTGTTCCTTCCTCTGGTAATGTACTTTTGACCTTGGCAAAACAATATTTTTGTCTATTAACCAAGACAGCACAGTTCGTGAATTTTGATGCAATGAACTAGGAGTTACAGTCTGTTGCACTCTTTTTGTTGATCGTAGCACACGGTTGTGTTGACTACCTTTCAGATTCTCTCTTAGTTTGATCAATGTCGAAGGTGACTTTCCACCTTTCAATCTTGAGATCCTAGTGTATTTAACAGGTAAGTCAGCTCGCCCTTTTTGTAAGTGAAATGCAAGATATGATGAACTATCCCTTCTCTTCCTTTTAGGCTTTTGAGTTCTCTGACTGACTCTACTTTGCTCAACAACATTTCTTCCCTCAAATCTCGAATAACACTTCTTGGACCAGTTTTCAGATTCAGTATTTGATGGCATAGAGCTTCTCTGGATATCGAGGGTCGCAAGTGCAGAAGAAAGCTTTTCACTTGCTAACTGACGTTCAATCTCCTCAACAGCATTAATTTCTTCTACTGATCTAGGAGTAGCATCAGTTTGAGAAACTCCACCTTCTTTTATACAGATTTTGCAGGCTTCCCTAAGTGACTGGTACATCCTTCCTCTTGGTGAAGTGTAACACAAATAGCGCCTTCCATTACTGGAAGCATAGTGAAACACCCAACCCAGCCATGAGAGATGCTTTTTTGCCTTCAGTGTCATATGACTTCTCTTGCATTTGCGAATCTCATCCAATTCAGCCTTAGACCACTCCAAAACAGCTTGAGGGCAATATTCTGGTTCAACAAAATGTAGTACCCTGATGTTTGGTTCAACAACACCTAGATGGTTGACGTTTGGTTCAACATGTACATCTTTGGTGTTTGAACAAATATGCTTTCTGGAGTGATCGGTCAGATCTAAACAGATCTGATAAAGAGAGTAATAAAGGTGCCCAGTTGGTGAGACGTATCGCCATCTGATAAGTTTTCCGTATTGCTTAGACTCCATTTTCCATCCCTGATATAGAAGATGCTTCCTAACGTCAGTTAGCAGAGAATTATTGGGTTTCTTACCAGCATGAATGTATTTGGCAATGACATCAGGACATGACTCAGCTTTAGAAACAAGCTCAGGGTCAGCAGGAATCCATGTAGCAGTTACATTGGGCCCTGAATGTTTAGCCCTCCTTTCAGCCATATCTGTATCAGTTCCAGAAAATCCTTCATTGCTAGTTACAGAACAGATGCAGGAAATTCCATCTGCAACAGAGGGTGAGACCATCAAAGCCTCAGGTAAACTACAGACAGCATTATCAGCACAGGGTTCGTTAGGTTCAGCCAAAACATTGTTATCATCCTTGAAAATATGCATCGACTGACCAGAACTAGATTTCTCTTGACTCGGCGTAATTATAGCTTTGTCTGGACTCAACAAAGTACTGTTAAATTGATTGTTAAATTGATTCTTAACGGGAACAATAGCAAAAGTATCACCTAAATTTGCATCAGTACCCATACTAACATCTGCATCTGGTATAGCAGGCTCCTCTTGCGATTGGGATTCTGGTTGGGAGGAACCAGGAAGGCCTAATACCTTCACAAAATGATCCACGGTGATTTTATGGTTATCTTTTATTACTTCCAGTACCAATTCTTTCCACAAAGACTCACAAGAAAATGTCCACTCTCTAACATTTTGAAAATCGTCTTTTTCCCGTAAATCATACCAAAATTGTTGCACAGAAACAGAAAGAAACCACTCTTGCCCATATTGTTCAATCAACTCAAGAAACAACCAGGTTCCTCGTTGTTGCCACTCCTCTTTGAAGTCGTTCCAATCTTGAGTAATCCGTAAGTTGTCGATTTTAGCAGTCATTTCATCACCCAAATCAGGGAAGAAAACTCTCCTCTTCTCTGAATCATATTCATGGTCCAAAATCACACCTTCCCACCAAGCATCATTATACCATACATCAATGCAGAGCCCGTAGTAAAGGTTCCATTTGCAGAACTCTAGTTTAGGTGGTAATTTCCTTATAGTCGCTCGACAGTTATAGTGAGTCTCACACGGACAAGAAAAAACATTCATTACAGGAGAAACACCGACGATGTCGACCAGCCTATCGGAACCATCATCAAGAAGAAGATGATCATACTTTACGTGACACCCTCTCTTATCCCATGAAATAACAGTTCCTTGATGCCATGAACCCCGAAACCCTTCTTCAACACTCCTCACCTACAAAATGCATATTCAAATTCAAAATTTAAATGATCAAAACAATATTAATATTCATATTCATATTCTGAAACAACTAGATATTCATATTCAAAATTTAAATGATCAAAACGAGGAGAAGTCTGAAACGATCTACTAATGAACATTGCATGGCAACCAAACAGACACTAAGCCACGCTAATACGCGCATTATCAATGAGATAAACAATTAAACAGCAGAATGCAACTCTAACAACACTGATTAAAAGAATTCGAAATTTTCATCAATAGAAAAAACCAAATACAACCCAATTCTACCATTCTAAAAAAATAAAAAAATTCAAAAACAAAAAAAAAACACCCACATAAAGAGAACTGTATTGAGACCCAAGAAAATTACAACCCAGAATCTGAAAAAAAAAACGATAATGGGAATAGCCACATTACCTCAACTTTTTCGTTAATATCAAATTTCTTTCTTTCAAAAATTCTCATACGTTTCCTTTTCTTCCAAACGGAGTCTTCTAAAACACCGATCGCCGCCATCGAAGACCCCAAAGTAGGAAAAAAAAACTTGATACCCTTACAACTGAAGAACGTTATTGAGTGGTAACTGAAAAAAGGGGAAAAAATAACAGCTTATTTATAATATACAGAGAGAGAACAATAAATTTTCTCCCCTTTTTTTCCCTTCTTTATGCTTTCTCGTCAAGTAACGAGTTTTCTACACTTCTAAATAATTCAAAAAATGTATAGTGTAAAAACAATGAAACATAAAATTAATATGATTATAAGAAATTTACAATAAGTAAAGTTAGAGAAACACAATTTATCTAAGTCATTGCCTAACTTTAGCGGTAAAATAAAATATATTTTAAACTTCGAGTTCGAGCAAATATATCTGTAGAGTGTGTACATTATCAATAACTAATAAAAATTATGAATATCATCACCATGGTTAAAAAGAAAAAAAGACAATTTGTAATAATGAATGTAATTATTATTAATCTCACCATGTGTTTCACATATGATTCATCGTCGCTTATGACCTAAACTGGTAACGTTTAATACAAAAAATGTAAGATCTCATAATTGCATTTATAAATGAAAGTTGAATCAAGGAATGTTTTATAGACCTGCATCATGTCACCAATATGAACTATGGGAGTGTTTGGAATTGGGTTAACCAGGAGCCATTTGTTGTGTCCTTTAAAATTTCAAGTCCCCGACATGGTCTTGGTTCACTATCGAAAGCACCGAGCTAACCGTATGTGGGATCATGCCCCAAGCCTCACCACCGATGGAGTGGCACGACGGATATCGATAAACTCGAATGAATCCAGCGGATTCTTCTATTATAGGCTCGGATTATTCCGGATCCAAATCGAGATTCTTGGTCATTGATTGAAACAAAGTTGTGGCAATTCTTGTAATTAAGGTGTCTTCCATATTCTTCCAACAAAAGCCTCATGGAAAAGACAATTGAAGAAAAATATCTTGTTAGGCAAGTAAGTAAATATATTAAAAAACGATAGATAAAGGACTTACTTGAATTTATTGAGTGATCTTAATGAAAAAAGAAAGAGTTGTTATCTTTAAAAAAATATGTGTCACAACAGTTACATCATCTAAAGGACGTGTGTGCATAATCAATGATAAATAAATATTCTAGATATATACTAAAAGATTTATAATTTGATATTTTGTTTTAAACAACGAAATTAAGCGCTTAATTTAGGCATCAAAACTAAAATTTTGGTTTGGGTGAAAATTGTAATTTTCAAAGGTATAGGATATAATCCATTGATGATGATTATATATATGAATGAGACACCTAATAGAATCTTAATTTGACAGTTAACAAATTTCATTATCAGTATATCACATAATAAAACAAATTATAGAAATAATTAACAGAGTAATTATAAAGGTATTGAGAAAAAAAGGTTGACACTGAATAACTCTTCCTTTTATGATATCGTATTTGCTACGTGAGGGTTCTCCATTTTAGCTTTGACATTGATGAAATAAATGAATCAGTATCGGAAACTTTATATGCTCCCTTCAGGAAAATATGTAATCATCGTACTGACGGTTCCACGACCTTAAATTCTTGACAAACCTTTGGACTAGACTGACAAATAAAATAAAAACTGCCTTTGATTTCGAAATTTTGAATAACTAAAATTAGTTTCGTATATATTTAATTTTTCTTTTTACTGTATCTAAAAATAGGTTATTATAAGTTTCTTTCGTATCGTTTGAAACTTTTTTTCTATAGTGATATTAGTTTTAGTGTTAATCGTTGACCGTTGACATTCTTTAATTTTTTTGTTATTTTTTTATATTACATATTTGATTTATTTTTTTAATAACTTTATTTTTATGACACATTTTTATCTGTCTTTTTGATACATTTTTCTTTGTCTTGTGGGATGTTTTTTTTATTGGTCATTTGTAGGAATGGGCATGGGTTGGTCGATCGACCAAACCCGAAAAATATACACCTTCCACCTAACCCAAATTTTTAGATAAAATCCGAACTCGACCGACTCGATCTGAAATAATATATTTATTAAAAATATTATTTTTATTCAATAAATTAGGGATTTAATTAAAAATAATAATATATGGAGGAGCATTATTGCGATTATCCCTAAATATAAAAGTAAATTTATATGTTTTTCTCGAGTTAGGTCGGATATTTTTTCACCCTAAACTTGAACTCGACCCAAACCCATTTTTTAACCCGACCCAATCAGAACCTATCGGATTCGGGTCTCATGCCCATCCCTAGTTATTTGATTGTTATTTACATTTTATCTTTTTCTCATGATTGAATTTGACAACGCTTCGATTGATCAAGATGATACTTATTTATTATATTGCTTATCTTTTCTGTTTTGGAAAATCTGATTGGATTTAGATCTATCGGATTCGGGTCTCATGCCCATCCCTAGTTATTTGATTGTTATTTACATTTTATCTTTTTATCATGATTGAATTTGACAACGCTTCGATTGATCAAGATGATACTTATTTATTATATTGCTTATCTTTTCTGTTTTGGAAAATCTGATTGGATTTAGATTTGCGATTACGTTCGTGGATATTTATCTCACGCCGCTCGAATCTGATACGTAGTTCAATGATTTTTCAATGTTTATTGTCGATCTGAGTGACTAATTTATTGTGTCAATGATATAAGAAAAACACATGTATACGACTGTGAACACTCTTGTTTGTGCAAAGTAAGTTGTGAAACAAACGACTTGCCTGGTTGTAATGACAACAATGGTGGATCCCTTGCTTTCTGATCATAGCATTTGCCATTTTTGATGACGGTGGATCATAATTCTGTTAATAAGCTGGTATTAGAGATATGTTCGCATAATTATTTACTTGATTACTCTATTTTTGTAGTTGAGTTGTTGTTGGATTATACAAAAACTCATATTAATTTTCGAATTAGCAAAGGCCCATTGGATTTATTGTATGAAGCCCATTCTATAGAATTATGATTAATCCAATAAAAGGCGGAAGGCGAAATTGTTACGTTAAGTTTCCCGCGATAATAAACATTTCCCCGCTTCTCAGTTTCATCTTCATATTCTTTAAATGGTGTTTTTCTCTTGTATATTGCTCCAATATTTCCCCACTCTTCAATCGAATTGAAGCCCGTTTATTTTAGTTCACATTTGTCTAAATCGTATAATGTTTAACAATGCCTGCAATTGCAGATCGCAATTCGTCTCCATTCAAAGGAGTGTCGGTCGCCGAGAGCTGCGACGTGGCTGTATCCAACGGAGTTGTACTCCTCAGAAACGAAGGTTAAGGTCCAACTCGGAGGCGTTCAAAGAGAGTCCGTTTTCAAAGCCGATGAAACTCAAATCGCCTCGCCGTCGCCTAATTTCAAGTCCAAGCAGCACTGCAAATGTAATATGTTATAATGTACGGGGTAAGCAAAATGAATTAATATGAGACTTATTTGATTTATTGACAAACTAAAATAAGAACTAGTTATTCATGGCTTAGTTCCTTTTTAGTGTTTGATGAAATTCGTGTTCTACAAAAGCACTGGATCAGGTTTAAAAGATTGCTGATATTCCTTAAATTTATACATTAACAGAAAATTAAGGAAGACCCGAGCGGAAAACTAGTGAAGAAATGCTGGAATCCGAGGGTAATTTTGTAGCTAGTCCACCCCCACAATGTGCCTTTTTAATTTTGAGCAATCAATGATAGTATGAATTAGTTTTTTTACTTTATTTAAAGATGTTGAGCAAATGAGGGCTGTGAAGGGGCTCTACATGTTCAACAGCCCCATCAACTGTTGTGTGCCGAGAAGATGAACAATAAAAGGTTTTGGATTTTGCAAGACATGTGTCGAACAAGAGAAAGCTGGGAGCTTGTATGTATGCGGATGTCCGGGACCGGGAAATCGTATCGATGGAGAAAGTAAAACAACAAGTGATTGATTGGGCAACAATGGTATGCTCATTGTTATGTAGCCCCTCTTACCTTGAAATATTATTGAAGTGAGTTATCATTTTCAATTTTCCTTTTGTAACAGGAAGGTTTGCACCCCCTGATGATTGACTTGGCAGATTCTTGGCATGCACCAATCAAAGAAGAAAATCACGGGCTCAACATCACCTTTACAACATCTACAAAACCTGTATTCTAACAAGCAGGTGCCATCGGGCTCAAAGATATGTGAGAAAAATGCCCTCACTGAATGAAACTCTTTATTCCCCCACTTGGCCTTAATAAAACCATGAATTTTTGCAGGTTAATTATGCTGATGAGTTGGATTATTTGATTACAAGGGATAGGGAAGTACTTCATGATCTTTCATGCTTACAACATTTCCATTCTCAAGATGTATATTGATAGGTATCATTCACTATGCTTATTTCTATGTTGCTTGTCTTATTCATGCCAACATTCACTCATGATTTTGTTTTTATTTATTTCCTGCAGGAATAGCAAATTCCATTGATCTAGCAGATAGGTTTCTTCCAAGACTCCAGTCATTGAACTGTGAGTTAATTACTATAATTACATTGGTTGACACTGATATAAGCTTGATTATGTGATAGAAATTTCTTTTCTAGGAGTTATCCTTGCTTTGGAAGTGGCTGTAACTTTGCTTGTCCTTATATGTTCAACTATAATAATGAATGTCATCTGGCATCTTCCTAGTTTCTCACCTAAGCACCAGAGTTGAGAATGAAGCATCTAGAGCATAGTCTTATATTTACTGGTTTGGGGTTGTGGATTTACTCCTTAGTAATGCTAGTCCAATACTTTCTAAATTGTTACCGTTATTTATTCTTTGCTGATATTATCTTCAAAGAATGCTTTTTAGTCCCTTTTTGTAGAAGTAGCTACTTGCAATGATGCAATATAGACGCTTAGCTGTTCTGGAAGTAATTCTAATGTATTAAACTACCACTTCTCTATGTTAGGCAAGCCATGGTTGTAACCTTCCGTGCTCTAAAGATCAAATCCTTTCAACACTTCAGGAGAGGCTCTTGGTAATT